ACGTTTGACCAAGTGTCACGATGGTCATATTAAGATGTCGGCGACTCGTTGCCACTTCTTTTTCATGGAGGTATTTTTCGACGTTGCGAAGACTCTTTGCACGGTGACTTTTGCTCAACAAAGCTTGGCTTATTCCGCTTACTGTAGCCATGTCAGCCACAATGGCCACGTTTGTTAAGTTACTGTATGAGTATGATAGCAAAGTCGACCGCAAAGGACGCATGCTATTTGGCTCTAACGCTTCTCGGCTATAATGCTTTTGATTCTCGACTTTTAATTTATTGTTTCGAGAAGCTGACACCATCAGACTTGCCGCCCTCAGACAAGCCAGATTGGGTAGATGTTGTCTCACACATCACCCCACCGCGGATCCACCAAGCCCGATGCCATTCGGCGTCGTTGGAGATACAAGTTTTCGTGGCACTATTCAACATTAATTCAAACACTTGTTGACTTCTTTGAACTCACATCGAGTTTAAGAGAGGATGTGAGGATGTTAGAGATATTTAGATATCTTCTAGAGATATTTAGGTTATGTTGCCTGATTTTCTAAATTTATTTTGATGATGCATATCTGATTTGATTTTATAGTTATATGTTAATTCCTATAAATAGGCTATTCATGTACTTTTTTATATATATCGAAATACACAAAAAATTGCTCAATTCTTAATCTTCCGCATTTTTCTCAACTTATTACATGACCACCTTTTTCTACAAATATATAGACGAGGATTCACCACTTATATGAGTTAAAAAATTAAAATTCTCTAAATTTAAACGAGTGTATTTTGGATTTATACTTTTTGGATCAACAAGTAAGCAATTAAATCAATGGCTCAAGTTATCTCGTTTCACATAAAATACCCCGACACCAACCAAAACCACGATTCTATTTTCTCCCTCTTTCTCTCTGCCTACTAGCTCCCTTAGTACACATCACTATCGCCTTCTATGGACCCCGTCACTCGCTCCCGAGACGTTCACTAGCCACCACCGACACCCACGTTGCTCGGCCGCCCAGGAGAGAGGGAGAGGAGGCGGGAGGAGGGGCCAAACAATACTCTCACAACACTCCTAAACAAAATCCGTTTAAGAAAAAAATAAATCAATCTACAAATGCTATTCTCACGACATTTATTTGTGTATATACAATGGGTATTTCTTTGATACATTGTCTTCTTGATGTATGTGATGATTAAAGTCAAGCATTGGAGAGGGAATCCTTCACTTTACATCTCACCTTATCTAACACAATCCATACACCAGGGTCTGTATTGCTACCAAAAGAGAGGACCCATTTGGATTAACAAGGCAGAGGGAGTGCAAAAGTGATTGCCTTAGGGATTTCATTGTTCCCTCCACTCCAAACAAGAGGCATGCTAGATAAAGCAAATTGGACCACACCAATCCTTATACTATATGCGGGAGATGTATATACAATTAGGGGGCCATTGATCTCCCCACCGGTGGAGAAGATTTCTTGCAGGTGTTAAAATCATGGCTACTCCTGTCAATAATCATTTTACTTAGGCTGAGCTTTTCTTTTTTGTTTTTTCCATACCTTGGGGCTAAACTTTTGTCACCTTGAGAGGCTCCTTTGTGCAGTACAACTTTTGTACCTATTTTTTTATATGGAGAAAGCTGTCTTATCCAGGACCATTAGCTCGTAAAGTACTAAAGTTAACCTTAGCTTCTTCCTTTTTTTTAGGGTGTCAACATTTGTATCCAAAAAAAAAACTTAATCAACCTTTTTTTTTGGTATCTATGATATTGTCAAAAAAAATTAAAAATTTATCTCTTTATTCAGCATGCTTAGTACTTGTTAGAATGACTAAATTTAGAGTCGAAAGTAAAGAGCATCCTTTTACTTTTTCCCCAAAATTTGAAATACAATCCAAATTTCAAAAATTGTGAAGAAACTATAGATAACACATAATGAAAGTTTCTAGTGTCACGGGTTAGGAAAAAAGCTCAAAATGCATATGCCGCAAATTCTAAAATCAAACGAAATGTAAAACGGCAAAAGTTTACACCGGCACGCACTCTTAATTGATTATTTCCCGTTGAAACATTCGATGTCCAATAACACCCTCAAAAAGGGCAAAAAGAAAAGAAAGATTTCTCAGCGAAGGAGGGAGTAGGGCAAAATGAACAAATGAAATTCAGCAACTCGCTAACTTAGCTCAAAAGGGAAAAAAAAAAGGGTTCCTTAGTGCTAGTGTTGAAGTGATGATTAACCATAATAACGGGAGTCAAACGTCCAAGCCCGACCCAGGAAGCGAAAAACATCCTTTGTGGACATCATCCCACGAGCGTCTCAACTAGCCTAAGGAAAAAAAAAGGGGGGTATGTGCGCATCGTGCAAACACTCCGCACGAAACGAGGAGTGGCGAAATCATTGGCCGAGTGCATGGGTAAGAGATAATGAACAGAGGAAAGTATTATCATCATCGAGTGCAAAAGCCAAAGGGGGCTGGTTCGAGGAGAGGAAAAGGGCCCCCTCCCTCCTCCCTTGCCTCCCCTTTTGATCTCTCTGATTAGTGGTTTGAACGGTCAAGTACTAAATAATTGGTCTTCGTGTATTAACATAGGATACCGTCCCTTTCGATCCCCCCTCATCAATACTCTTTCTTTCCTTTTGTTTTTCCCCTAGTTGCTTTCGTTAACATGTTCATGGTGGTTGTGGTTCCATTTTCTTATTACTTTCCCTTTGCAAATTGATCCGATGTGATGGGCGACCGAATCCCGTGGACTCCAGAGATGATGAACGTTTGATCATGAAGTTTTCTGCGTCACGTTATCACGATGTGCACATTGTGTAATTGTGTGCTTGAGTGTATGGTCGCCAACGGTCATGTAGAATGACGTGATGTATTAATAAAGAGGCAAGACTCTTATTGTGTAGTATTGATATGTTGAGTTGTATGACGAAATACCCCGATTTTGCATTGGAAAATGCTAGATAAGTGAATCCACGACAAAGTGACTCTAAGGATGGTCTAAAGAGCACAGACCATCTCTTTTCTTTTCCCTTGTTTTTTCTTTTTGGTGCATGGTTGCTACATAGCCACTTGAAATTTATTGTGGCAGCGAGTGGCTAGTGCCTTGTACTAATTTAGTGAAGAGTGATTTGAATAAGCCATGTCACTAAGACTCTTTGATAAAGAGGCGACCCTCATTGTATAGTACTAATATGTCAAGTTGTAGGACGAAAAACCCAATTTCACATTGGAAAATGCTAGGGCAAATTGTGAGCTTATGAATAAGGGGTGTGTATGGTAATATTTCTGTTTTCAGAAATAATTTCTGTTCAAAAATAGTTTTTTCTATTTCTATTCCATAGACAAGTTTCTGAGCAAATGAATGCGTTTGGTAACTGCACAAAATTTCTATTCCCGAAATAGAAAAAGAACAAAAATACATTTGGTACAATCCTAAAAATTTCTATTCCCAATTTTTTTCATTTAATTATAAAAATGTCAGTGAAGACTTAACAATTCATATTTGGATAAAATTAGACTAGAAATATAATCAAAATATATTATGATATAGAATTGGATAACCTTAATACAATCATAAAGAAAATTACTCCTTATAAACAAAATAAATACCGGGTAGTGGTTGAGGAAATTGGGGTTTAGGGTTTAGAATTTATGGTTTAGGTTTTTAGGGTTTTGTGTTTAGGGTTTGGGGTTTTGAGATTTAGTGTTTTGGGATTTGGGTTTGGATTTTGGGGTTTCGGATTTTGGGGTTTCGGGCATTAGGGTTTAGGGTTTGGGGTTTTGGAGTTTTAGGATTTAGGGTTTCGATTTTTGGGTTTTGGGGTTTGGTTTTGGGGTTTTGGGTTTTGAGGTTTTGGGTTTTGGGTTTTTGGGTTTCGAGTATTAGGTTTTTGGGTTTTAGGGTTTGGGTTTTGGTGTTTAGAGCTGTAGGATTTAGGGTTTTGATTTTTGGGTTTGGGTTTTGGGGTTTGGATTTTAGGGTTTCGGGGTTTGGGTTTTAGGGTTTCGGTGTTTGGGTTTTGGGATTTAATGATATATGAAATTGTTTTTCTAAATTCACATTGTTTCTCTTTTTGTTCTTGGGAACAGAGAAGTAGATTTTTTTTACTTCTTGTTTCTATTCTAAATCTATTCCCTGGCCATCTTTCTATTTCGGGAAATAGAAAAATTAACTGACGTACACAAACGAATTTCTGTTCTTTTTCTGTTCTGGAGAATAAAAGAATAGAAAAACAAAGAATTAGAAACGTTACCAAATGCGCTCTAAATGAACCTATTACAAAGTGACTTCAACTAATTTGGTCGAGAGTGATTTACAAGGCCAAGTTGGCAAGACCCATTGAGGGAATATGCTTCATTGACCTAATAGAGCTTGGCCTTTGAGAATGCCTTGTTCTAGCTCAAGATCAATAATCTCTCTCCATATATCAATCTTTTGGCGTCGAGATCGATCGGGTCATGACTTGGCTGTTGGCCAGTACTCCAACGATTGGCCTCATCTTTTCACCGCTAAATTACCGAGTCTGCGTTTATACTTTCTCCAAGATCTACTCAAATTTGTCCTCATCGACAACTATTGTTTTTGAACAAGGTATGATCCATCTGTAATCGGCTTGTCTCGATAAAATGCGACATTCAATGCGTGTCACCGATAAAAGAAGAAGTTCACTAGTTGCCCCATGAAACTTTTAACTTTGACCCCCCATGTTTCTTCACTTTCCAATTCTCTTATTTTTCACTTTTTTAACAGTCTTCACACGCCTAAACATCATTCCAAATAAAGCGCAACAGTTTAAGGAATAATTAATTGCGGCATTATCCGGGTAATTTTCCTTTCCGCGCACCTGCCAGTCTACGTCGGATCACCCCGGCCCGATCCCGAAACCGGGCGGGCCACCAGGGGCACCGGCGTCAATTCGCCTCCTCTATAAAACCTCGGCCTCCTCGCGTTCTTGAAGTTCCGATTTTGATCGTACCCTCTCTCGCTCTCTCTCCCTCCTTCCTTCCTTCCTTCCTCCTTCCTTCTCTCTCTCTCTGTTCTCTGTTGCGAGGTTGCTTTTTCCTGCGAGCGTGGTGCGAGGCTGAACTGGTCTTTGGCCCGTTTCTTCTGCAGAGCTTCCACCCTTCTTCTTTTCGTCGACACCGTCTGTAAGTCCGGTGCGTGCTGTTGCTCTGTTGGCCTGTACTGCCGCGGGCTCTCTCTCTCTTGCATTTCTTGCTTTTGTGTTGGCACACGCGATCCCTCCGAAGTTGGGTGTTTCTTTTTGTTCGTGGGGTTTTCCGTTTCGTCGTGTTTCGGTACGTGCGTGAAAGTGGAAAGATGGGTTCTTGCTTGTTGGGTGAATCGGTGGTGTTCTGTTCTTTTGTTGTTCTGCATTAGCTGATGCTCTGCGAAATCTCTCTTTTAAGTGTTCTTGCCGTTCTTTAACCATGGCTGAAACTGAAATATTTCTTGACTTAATCTCAAGGTAAATTTTTTCGTTGTCTGTCTGTTTGTCCCGCTGTTTTTTCTTCCATTTTGCTTCCTGAATGTTCCGTATCTTTCATTTTTTCGTGTTCGGTCGGTGAAAGATTTTCGACCACATAAGAAAAAACTATGAAGTTATTGGCATCCGAGTCCAAATCTTTATCTTCTTCAACGTATTACGAAGCTGTGTGGAATGGCCTAGTATTGTTCTTTTTCTTGTTTACCTTTTGTTTCAGCAGCGGCTAGATTTGCTTATGCAGTTAATAAGCTTCACTAACACTTCATCGGATGACTCTACAGGGTCTTTGAATCAGTTCTTGGCGAGGACCAGTTGCGGTGATTGAAGCAGAAGGGAGAGAACAGCATGCGTTGCTGGTTGAGTCTCTCTGTTGATGTCTTCCGCGAAGTCATCTCTTTGAATCTAGATTGCAGAGTCATTCTATAATTTGGATTACCGACTTTGAGCTTCATTTCACGCTCTGTTTCACTAGAACCTTTATTTTATAATGGGGTCGAATTTCTTTGTTGTCGTTCCCTGCTACGTCCGCCAAATTAGCTGAATATCATGCCGTCCACTTGTTCCGATTCAGATTTCGCCCGAGAAGTTGGTCATTAACTTTCGTCTCTTTTGGTCATTTGAGTTTGGGAATTTGTTTCTTGGGATCATCAGTCTGTTGTTTTCTGCTTCACTTTCCGGGTCTATATTTGCTCATTCATTCTGGTTGTTGATTGATCCGTGTTGAAAGATTTATCTCCTTCATATTCTTGAGATCTGAGGGGTGGGGAAGTGTAGTTATGGTGTGCCAAGCAGCAAGCCAGACAAGATTTCGGGCAATGAAACACGAAAATGGGACTGCTGGGAATTCAACAATAGTTGTTAGAATCATAGCATGCTTTCAACCTCTTCATGATTGCCAGGTTGGTGAGAGTGTCCTTCTTGCAGAGTGTTAAATGTCTGTGTGCTTGGTGTTTTTGTAGCCCTCCCTGTCATATTCTACTAGACGTTTGAATGACATCCTGATTTTATTTTGTCATACAGTTGGATTAGGTAATGACAGCATTGTGATTAGAAACTGATTGGTTTGCTTTCTTGGATTTTTGCAGGCCGAATATTTCCGCCATTTGCTAAAACCTGTCACGTAGATTGATCTAGTTCTATACTTTTCAAGTTTAGCTGGAGTTTTTAGGTTCTTTCCCCTTTGTTTTTTTGGAGGAAACAGCAAGTGAGCAACAACTTCAATTGATAGAAACCTTCTTTGGGTACGTTCTTTGTTTTCTTGAACATTTCATACTTTTGTTTCCTCAGAATTGGTTTTCTAAATGTGAATTCATCCTTAGGTGACTGATCGAACTCGATCTTTGGATGGGAGAATATTTTGGGGCCTGGAATTCACGGCATTTCAATATGCAATTGCCTACTTTCGATCCATTGTCTGCTCCATTTGCTCTGGGGCATGAATATGTCCTTTCAACTAGTGCAGTCACAGGTGCGAAAATGATCTCTAATGATGCTGGGTGGCCACCACATGCCCATAAAGAACTGCCTACTTCACGTATTGGCCAATTTGATGAAGCTCACGGTTGGTTTTATTGTCTGCCACGCTTTAGGCAGGCTTTTATACCAGAACTTAACAGTTCTGTTCTTAAAGACAGATCTCTTGTTGGTCCTTCAGTAGATTTCGATGTTGACAGTAGACCGTGGACGAGTTCTGGATTTGTTGAGAAGAAATTTGTTGTTTTCGATCAAGCGGTGGGCCATACTAGGATATTTTATAGCTCAGGGATAAAAATTCCCAACCATTGCCCAAATTCCCTGGGTGTCCCTCATCACATCAATGAAGAAGTTGTGAGAAGGAAAAGCGACGTAAATTTTCTGTCTGGACCGACCACCCCCAACTTTAAGGATGATCATGGGGATGATGTGCAAAGCGAGATGCATGAAGACACAGAAGAATTGAATGCTTTACTTTACTCGGATGACGATTCTGATGACTCTGAAGAGGATGAAGTTGATAGCACTGGTCATTCTCCTAGCACGATGACGGCTCAGGAGAAGGAAGAATATTTTGGAGAAAGCACGGAGGTTGTTGCCAGCTCTGCATGGCCAACAAAGAAGCGAAGCCTTGTGGATGCCTCGAGTTCTTCCACTCAAAACCGACACAATGAGAATGAAATTGAGGCAGATTCTAATGCCGGTGATAGGAGCAGTTTTTCAGGTGAAGTCAATTCCACGTGCTGCAACAAAAGGTTGTGCAAGGAGAGAATTTGCGAGACTGTGAGCCTTTTGGAGAAAGTACTTCCTGGCACAAAAGGAAAGGATGCGACTGTTGTACTCGATGAAGCTATCCGTTACTTGAATTCTTTGAAGGATGAAGCCAAAGCTTTGGGATTTTCTACTATGTGACTTGGACATAAAATCTGCGGTTGCCCTTGTCACAATTACTCCGCGATACATTATTTTGGCGAGGAAGCACAGGGAATAAGTTGAGTACGAGGCTGTTGAATTTCTCTATTTAACAGTTCAAGCATTTGCACTTGGAAGTGATGGTGAAGTTGGACGGCTGCATAAACAAATTCTTGGTTCTGTCGTCCTTTGGTAATGGTTGGTACAATCAGCGGGAATGAGATTTGGCTTGTGGTCTTCCTCTTGCATAGTGTCGTGACTTTTGGCAAAACATTGCTTGCCGTTCTTCATGCCGATGGACCGTGTACAGAGTCTGGATACTATTGCCGTTACTGATGGGGGAGCCGACTCATGCTTGCCCGTCCCCCAGTCTCTCTTGTACTTTGTGCAGGATCAATGTGGGAGCCCACTCATGCTTGCTCCCAGCCCCCATTCTCTTTACTTTCATCACTCATACGTTGGGTAGGATCACAGGCAGAGACAATGTCCGCCTGCACCATGTTATTCATATTGTGCTCCCAAGTCGTTGTGTAGGTACTCTGTTTGATCTCTTATCCATCAGGGACGCTGATGGTTTGATTATTTGACAGTATCAGTTTAGTAAAATGTTGGGGACAGTGGCTGCTGCTAGAAAGTTGTAAGCGTTTTGCTGCATTTGGTTTTAAGTGTGCTGTTTATTAGCATTTGGGGTTAATTGGTTACACATGTTGATATATGGTGGTTAGATTAGAGTGGTAACCAGTGAAGTGGAATGAGATTTAGCGTCGCTGTTCGAGCATGCACTTGTTGCTTATACAACTATTCCTCTTGGTTCCATGGATATGGATTTGTGATGGGGAAGTTTCATATGTGCTACCTAAGTTGAGGTTAGGGAAATAGGCAGGTGAATCATGCCTTTCATGCTTCTGTCTTTGGGGGTCATTCGAGGTCTCTCGTCTTTAGATTAACTGCAACTATATATCAGAATAACTTGTGCTCCGCGGTCTCGTGAGTAGACCTGTCAAACGGATGGGTAGGGTCATAAATGGTTCGACCCGAAATGATCCATTAACCCATTTATGGCCTATTTATTCGCAATGCAAATTTCTCGACTCATATCCGACTCCATTCATATTGTTATCTAACACTAAGAGAACTTATACGCAAATCGAGGCGAGAGTGCCGAGTGAGTGAGTGCGAGAATGAACGAGGGCGAGAGAATGAAGAAAGAGTCTTAAGTTGTAAATCATTTATAATTCACTTATGACCCATTTACAATCCATCTCATTATATATGGGTTAAGAAATGGATCAATAATTCATTTTTACAGGTCTACTCGTGAGACATAAAGCTCGCATACGTGGTGACGTATGCGATTGTGATCGGAATTACCGTCTTTCGACTCGACACTCAAGAGTCATTTCCAAGTGTTTTAATGTGACATTTGAGAGTTTGTCTTGCAAATGAACGTTAGGTGCCTTTCTCTGTGAAATCGAGAACTTGTCATAGCTTTCGGAAGGAAGTGGGGGTGAGAGACTGGTTCAACCCGTAACGATCAGCAGATGGGAACGGGCTGAGAGCTGTGGGACTGAATTGCTTCCAAGGCCCAAGTGACCTCATGGACTAACTCACAAGGCTGGCAATTCATAACATGTCAAATTAGGGTTACGAAATGTATCGAGTATTATTGTTAGGTCCACCGCCGGCATGTTCACATATCGATGAGTGACATTTTTATTTGGAGTTAGTTCTGTAACCGGATTCTTTCATGACGACGAGCATGTAAATTACTTATCACCCTGGCAGCGGACCTAATAAAAGAATTTGTTGCTCGGATCTTGTAAACCCAGTTGCGTCCACGTCTGCATCGCGGATCTCATTTTGTTATTCGGTATCTGGTGCTGCCTAAAAACCGTAAGCGATCCTCAAACGCACCAGTTTCGGCTTCGGGTCTCAGCGATGCCGCGAGGGAAAGAATAAGCAAGATACTTGAATCGAGCCCAGTCGATGTTCAGGCCTCTCGCCCCGAGTTCCGGGATCCGCGATCTCGAGTCTTTTACTCAAATTATGATTTGGTGACTTGAATTTAGCGATGGGTTTATTAGCTATTTCTCCAATTTTTGAGTTAGAAAATTATTAGACCTCCTTTTCACAATATATATATAGGTTCTAGATTCTTCCATTGGGCAATACACAACAAAAGAATCTCAAAAAACTTGTGGCTCTAATTGATGGTGCATTCCACACGCTCCAAGTCACCTATCCCTAGAGTCAACCCCTCCACACCTAACGTCCAATCGCGAAAACCCGGAATCCTTTTGTCGGTGGAGATCCTTTTCCAATTAGGGTAAAGTTAAATTTAAGCGAAGATTGTCCGGAAAAACCATAAAATCATTATACGACGGCCAATTCAGTTATAAGCTTTTTAATTTTGCCGATTTAATTATAAATTTTTTTGACGATTTGTCAATATGATCCTCAAATTCGTGACGCCGTCTGCATCGATCCAAGAATCGACTTCACCCACCGAGAAGAGAGGAAGCCAATCATATCCAAGTTCGGTACGATGATTAGAGCAAATCACCATCAGTTTTATATCCACAAACGACCGCGCTCCAATCAAGCACAATCAAGGGGTTCTAGTCCCTACCCATTCCACAAAATCTTGGGCAGAAACAGTTGGCTATTATACAGCTTTTGTAATAATAGAGGAATTGTTTTAGTTTAGTACTTGGTTGTCTGCATTATTAACTTAATCCTTGTAAGGCGACCCCCATATACCCTGTAAACATGGTTCTTTGCCGTATTGTGGCAAACAGATTACCAGCAATCTTGCTCTAAAGTCCTAATATGGGCCCTTTTTCATTTGCTAATAATCTTATGAAGAATTTCTTGTTTTCGTTTTTTGAAACCTACATTTATTTGCCGGTCGAGTCAATTTCATGCGATCGTAAGAGTCGGTAGACTTTAGGGTCGTCCGAGTCGATAAACGATCTAGAATCTGCATTTGGCGTCGCTCGCTTATGCACGTGCAAGTATAATCAATACAATCGATTCCAGGCGCGTAGGGAGATCAGCTCGGGGGGTTTTAAGAAATGAATCGCGTAGGTATGTCGAGGCGATTCGGCGGATGCAGAGGCGGCCCGGTGCTACTGCGGCGCTCTGAAGTCCAAAGGCGAGGTTGCAGGAGGCGTTTGATGGGAGGATAGGTTTTAAACTGCTCTCGTCACGCGGTGCATATCGAACGGCAATAAGTATGGTAACAAGAGACGGAAAGAGCAAAGACCGATTCAAGAAACGAGCGAGACATTTCACGCGTTCCAGTTTTTTACCTACCTGAGTTGTGGTTACCCCGTCCCAAAAAGAAACCGAGGCAAATCAAAATTCAACCTACACCTTAATCACTTATTTTAATACTAATAATATCTCTGTCGCTTATGCAGATTTAACAAAAAGAAAAATGCAAAAAAGAGAGAGAGCTAAAGCTAAGATCAACTTTTTCCTTCTTTTGAAAAAGCATGATTCAGAAACAACATCATGTTCATACCCAAATATAGATAATGTGGAAGCACTTTCATTTCATTTTTCTACAGTACACGTAACCAGATTTTATGACCTTTTGCCCCAGAAAAGCAGAGCCTTCTCCATCCCTCATCAACCCCCCAACCTCCACTATCGTGACAATCTTCCTCTGGCAATCGAATACAGAATTGCTAAATTGCCTTTCGAGCACGCGGGGACAGCGACACGGATGTTACAGAAACATATGCAGAGAAAGGAACATCATACGATCCCACCCCTCACCTTTACAGAGAATATAAATTCCCCTGCCTCTCAGTTTTCTCGTTCCTTCTTTCACCTGGTTGGTGGTGGTGCCCGACTCTGCCTCCCCCAAGAACGCTTCTTCCTTTCTTTTCTCTCTCTCTCTTTCCACATGAAACCGAAATGATGACTCCAGCAGGCAAAGCGGCGGCGATCGTTGCACCGTCGTCCCAATTGAGCGTGGAGTGCTGCATGTGCGGCGATTGCGGCTTGACGGATGAGCTTTTTCAGTGCAGGATCTGCCAGTTCAGATCTCAACACAGGTAGCTCTCTGTCTCCCTCTGCTCTGCGTCTGATCAATTGAAAACCCGGAATCCGCCGTTCGCTGCATTACCCTCACAATGTCTCCTTTTTTTCGATGGCGGAATCGGTGCAGATACTGCAGTAATCTGTACCCGAAGGCCGAGTCATACCGAGTCTGCAACTGGTGCCTGGGCCAGGACAACCGAGACGACGGCGCGCCGGCCGTCAAGACCCAGCAGCAGAACTCGTCGGATTCCAACTCGCCGCGCAAGAGCGGGGCCGAACTGGAGGGCGACGTCAAGAGCGGCAAGAGGGTGAGGAGGGGCAGGGGCGGCGACGACGATCGCCAGCAGAAGCCCCCTCCCCTGCTCCTGCAGGTGGTGAACGGCGGCCGGATCAAGAAGGAGAAGTCCCCGGAGGGGACCTCGTCCCCGACGACGCCGGTCAGGAGGAGGATCATCACGAAGGGGGAGCTCGAGGAGAAGCTGCTGCGGAGGACGAGATCGGAGGAGATGGCGCACGCGGTCCCGAGGCAGGGGTTCCGGAACAAGGTGAGGCGGTACAAGCTCCTGGACGAGGTCTCGAGCTGACGACGACGACGACGAATCGAAGAGGAAATCGCTTGTGGAGAATTCACTTGTAAATGGGTATGGTCAAAATCGTTTCTTTTTTCCCTTTTTCTCGCCGCTTTTCTGGGTACCAGTTTTGATCCGGCGACAGAGGGACTGCAACATCGTCTGCAAGTTTCGGTGTACAGAGGAACCCCAGATGGCGAATGAGAGAGACGAGACATAATTAGAGTTAAAATTTGATTAGATTCTGGTGATGGGTGTTGACCTGTTTTCCTGGGTTTTTTCATTGGAAAGTTTTCCTGTACATGTCCAAAAGAGAATACGATGTCGCCGTGTTCAGTGCGGGAGAAGATGGAGATGGATGAATTGCTCTTAGAAAGTTTGGTAGGCGTGTGTTTTCTCATTGAAGAAATTTCACTAGGTTTAAAAGGAAATTCTTAGGCCTTCGGCCGGACGGATTTCCCACTAAGTTATCTCTGTATTCCCCCTCTCTAAAAAAGATAAAAGATATGATGGGGACTTAGGGGGCTTCCCGTTGGTCGGCCTGTGCTTCAAGAAGCCGACGCGCATTCATGTCGTGTGTTTGATGTGTCTAGCATTTCGTAGGGTTTCTACAGAACTGTCTATAGGAAATACTTCGAGTTTTCAACATATGCGTCGTCCTCATCGCATGTGCATCTAATAATTTGAAAATTGTGTATAGTTTGATTGATTGTGTTTTAATATGTGAAATGGAACGTCCATTGACAAGATTCTTGTTTTTCATTACAAACTTAGAAAGGGTGATATGCACGGCTAGATACCTTCTTGCTCGGACTCATGTCTCCATGTGCCAAGCTCATCGTCACTATTGTTAATCATGGGGATCCTATGTGAATATAAATACCCAAATTAATGGTTATGATCCACTGCAATCCATGGACCCAAAATCTATGCAAATTTTTACCCTCTAGTGGTCTGCGAGCGTCCTTCTCATATTTATTAAGGCGCGCAATCAGAGCCGTGTCATGTTGTCGATATGGTATTGTGCTGAAACATGAGTTTACCATGAATATGGCTACTCC